ACACACACAGTCCTGTTATGTAACGCAAAGGGTAAACCGCACGCGAATGTACTTCATACACAACTTAACTTACACATGTATTATACAGGAGTCGTGTACTCTATGCAGACGCGGTGCGTGTCTACATAGAGTACAGGTACACATTCACTTTGTGGAAATTGCACAAGCCCATTCATTGCCCGTTGGTTTAGCACTTCAGCCCAAATTAAATAGAGTTTATCATCCACGAGCAAGGACAATAATTATACCGTACGACAGTTCCGCATTTACATTGAGAAACGATTATGTATATAACGTGTGTACTGTAGATAGTTGTACAGACTGCAGAGACAAAAAAAACACGTGGTGAGCAAAGACAAAGATCCCCCGTGTAGCCTGTAACAGACTGTTGGGGCAAGTGCTCTCAGCGAGTAGCAGCACCTAATGAAGGTCACCGGCACCGTGGCACACGAGGGGGTGGGTGGGCCAGCACCACGCCCGGCCGCCTTTGTCTCCCCCGGCGGCGATGTTTACTACGCACCGCTACACCGGGGTACTCATTTGAAGGCCGAGTCGACCTAGGGGAGGCCCACGGACCGGGGTCCGATAATCGCTATCCGCCGGCGTTGGTGGCCGTGAGCGGGACTCGAACTCGGGTCGCCGGGTTCGTAGGCTCGGCGTAGCGCTAACCGCTGCACCACCGCTCCCCTACCCCTACCCACCACACCACGCACACACAGAGACACACACAAGGAGAGCAGGCAGGTAGCAACAACACGTACACAGTGGAGCAGCGGAACAACAACTACCGACCGTATGGAGTTGGTAAGCAAGTAGTAGGACGAGGAGGATGGATGAGGATGGAGGAGGATGGAGATGGATGGAGGAGGATGGAGGATGATGATGATGATGGAGGAAGAAGAGGTCGTCTCTGCCCACCTGATTTGCCAGCCACTGAGTTCTCTCTCGCCAGCGGCGTGATGAGGGCGCGGATGGAGCTGGGGATAAAAAAAAACAACTTTAAGAGGAGACACACATTGCAACATACACACTCACAACACTCTGACTCACTCACACACAGAGACAGACGCGGGCGTTACTAAACAGCGCCTCCACGTGGACAGACAAAGATCTTCCCCTCCCCCCTTCCTTGTGAGAGACTGGTTGGGGGGCCAAGTGCTGTGAGCGAGTCAGCACCGATGAAGGCCACTGGCTCTGTGGCACACGGGGGGGGGGGATGGGTAGCCAGCAACCACGCCCGCCCGCCTTTGTCTCCCCAGTGCTGATGTTGTTACACACCGCGACGCCAGGGTACTCATTTGAGGCTGAGTCGACCTAGGGGGAGGTCCGGGACCCGGTTCGGATAATCGTCGCTTTGTGTTGGTGGCCGTGAGCGAGAATCGCGCTAACCATTGCGCCACCGCTCCCCCGCACGTGGAAGGACACGCACCACGTTACGCACGCAGGCACGAGACGAATACTTTATTGTATGGTTGACAATGCGAAGACCGCCCGCACTCTCTCCAAAGTGAACTGATTATTGTTTTTCCTGTTGGTTAAGTGTGTTTAATTGTTTTACGATGTTCATGAGTCGTAGGGGGTAATCAATCCCATTCACTTATTAAGGTGAACCAATTATTCGGCAGTGGTGGCACAAGCGCTAAAACAACAAAAACTCCACGCATTCGTCGATAATACGGTTCGATAGTGCTATGACGAAGGGTCATTGCCCGAAACGTCACCTATATATATATTTTAGACCGCGCCGGTGTCCAATCACTCGCACTGCTCCCTCCTCCCTTAGCGAATTCGTCCGGCGGAGAATGAATGAAAAATATATCTGTGAACTTTCGATTTAAAGCTTTCGTGACTGCAAGGATTCATATTTGGTGCTTTCGGTAAAGTCACGTAGAATGAGAATAAAATAATAAATTGATAAAATAAAATAACACAATAAAATTCTGTCTGGAGGACAGCCTCGTCCCTTCACCTGATGAAGGCCGCTTGTGTTGTGGCCGAAACGTCGTGAGAATTGTATTGTTATTTTAATTGATCAATTTATTATGTTATTCTCATTCTACGTGACTTTACTGAAAGAACCAAAGAAGATATCTGTGAACTCCTTACCAGTCTCTTACTTATTACAGACCAATTCAGACTTTATTGGCCACCCTTATAAATCTCAACGTTCATCCTACAAAGTCACCATCACAATGGAGAAACGCAAACAAATAGACAAAAAAGTGTTTTTGCCCGTTTTGAAACGACTGTACGCCACATGGACCTGAAAACTCAATTTCCCTGCACGAGAATACGGGGTAAACCGTATGGGTTAAGAGCTATTGAATAGTGTCGAATGATTAATTAGTCATTCATTTATGGCATGAATAACGAATATCCGTAACTTAGCCACGATGTATATTGTGTACACATTTACCTATACACTACCTCCATAACACAGGTTTTTTTTCGGGTTAGATCGCGTAAATATATTAATGTCTCGTTAAAATCGCCAGTACCCGACACAGCCCATTTGTAAGGTTTGTCATGTAAACCGAACATGCCAATTCGTTACGAGTACAGCACACCGGTGTGTTGAAGAGCAAAGCCACGACATTTACAATATGAGTACGACGTTTCGCCAGTAATTACAACTGGCGAAACGTGTTACTTATTGACACGCGAGTTTGATAATGTTTAAGTTCTTTGCAAAACTGAATGATACTGGCCAAGACTAAATCTTGACTTAAAGCTTTCGTGACTGCAGGAATTCATACTCTTTGGGTCTTTCGGTAAAGTCACGTAGATCTTTCGGTAAAGTCACGTAGATCTTTCGGTACAGTCACGTAGATCTACGTGATTTTACCGAAAGACCCAAAGGGGTATGGTCAAGACTAGTTCGATAATGTATCGAAATTCAGAGAAATACAAATAATTGTAACCGTTCGTATAGCTAGACTTAGTACTGCTTGGAAGCGAATCATCAAGTAATACATTGTTTAAATGCATGCCTATAGAGGTCACCAATCTTCAATAGGGATTACCGTTGAACAATAACAGGTAAGGCTATTTCAGTACACACAATCGACAGGAGGTACAATAACAATGGGCTTGCATAATACGCATGCATAATATAAATAACTCAACCGGCAATGGATACCCATAGTAATTTATATGCATTCATTACCCCCCCCCCCCCCACTTCGCGCAAGAAGGGCTCACAAGTGATGTCATCACATCTACCCCCTCTATTTAAGGAACGAAACAGGAGGATTTCTCCACAAATCTATCGCCTGATGAAGCTAGTTGTAATTACTGGCGAAACGTCGTATTCAGATTGTAAATGTCGTGGCTTTGGCCACGTTCTGTTTACGTGACAAACCTTACTAGTTGGCTGTGTCGGGTGGTGGCGGGTTAAACGGCACATGTATATATTTACGCGATCTAACCCACACAACCTGTGTTATGGATATTGGTCGCGAAAGCCTACGTGTTAAATTACACACTACCTATTAAGTTATACATTTATCATTTACATTTAAATGATGAATTACTATATAAGACTCACAATATATATTTTATTAATGAAGAGGAGACTGGGTGGCTTAGAAGTCAGTGCTGAGCCGGCACCACCGAGGTCCTTGTGTTGAAATCCAAGTTCCCAAGTGTACTGAATTCATAGTCTCAGTGGCTGCACAAAAAAAACCCCATTAAATATAATCAGGTTCTGCGCTTAATTTGGCTAAATTCCAGCCCTTAGAAATAAAAAAAACAGCTCGTTACTCAATATTGCTCTCAGTAGCAGTGAATGGGAAAGCGCTGCCCTCTGTTGAGCGCATGTAAGGATCTAGCTCAGAGGTAGCTCTGTGATATCTGCGTCTGCGTGCCGTTCTCTAACATGATGGGTTGCACTGCTCTGCGAGAGTTGAGAATGAATTCTTCGACAAGGATATATGACACGGGGAACATCAGTCTGTTTCAACATTCGTGCAATAATCACCCGAAATACGTTTTGAGTTTACGTTTTTTAATTGCACAAAGTAATTTGTTCGAACCAACAACAGTCGTTACAGCAAATGCGTTTTCTTTAACACAGTACATTAGTTGACTTATGTTTGTGCAGTTTCTTCGATTTCTCCTGCAAGTTTAGCGCCGTTGTTTTTTTGGTTTTGCACCAACTTCTATCTTCTTTTCATTGCTCTCCATTATTGGTGCACGTCCTTCTGCTGACCCCATAATGCCCGTCACTCTAGCTATTAAAGACTATTAAGTGTCGTTACAAGAAATACGTTTCCTTTAATACAGTAAGTCGACGCATTTTGTTGTGCAGGAATCTTCGATTTCTCTCGGGCATGTATAGCGTGCGTGCCCACCGTTTGATTTGTTTCACCAACATCATCTCTGCCGCGTTGCTCGACATCACCGCTGCACGTCGTCATTCTGGTGACCCCTGCTCTTGCTACCAAGACTACCTTTGTCCCAGCCTACATTGTTGGACACGTCGCATCCCATGTGTCTCCCTCAAGGTCTCCCTAAGATCTGGGCATGATGCAGATCTTCGTCTCTGCATTCCCAGGTCGAGGTCTATGGGTGACCGAGATTTTTCGAAACATCGTAGTTTTTTTTTAAATTTCTTTGACCCTATTTACGTGACTATCGAAAGACCCAAGCATTTTCTTTGACCCTATTTACGTGACTGTCGAAAGACCCAAGAATACGTAGCTATTTGGTGTTTAAACATCTTAAAGCAACTGCTGTTCTATTGCCAGAAAAGGCTAAAACCTATTTATATTTTTAAAACCCCGATATATTGATTAACATTATTACACCTGTCGAACGATCGAGAGGCAAATGGGGAGGCTGCGGCAAGGGTGCAGAGCCACCGATCTAAAACAAACTCCCAATAACGAATCGATAGCGGTAATGGATTACCGTTGCGTTCCGTCGCGAACAAATCGATTACCGACACGGCGAATCGATTGCGGCAACGGAATCGCCGCGTGACCTCACAATTCGGGTCTCCGGCTACTTCCGCTTTCCGGTTCGCCGCGGTCCCTTCAGCCTGCCGCCGCCGCCACCACCCCACACAGCGACAGTGCAAGTTGCGGGGGGGGGGGTCCCTTATTATGAAGGGGGTCCCTTAAACCGGGGTGGGGGGCACCTTTACGCGCACACCCCCCCCGCCCGAACAAAAGTGACGTTGCGTTGTTGGCGGGGCAGGGTGAAGGTGCCCCACTGCGTTGTTGACGGGGCAGGGTGAAGGTGCCCCACTGCGTTGTTGGCGGGGCAGGGTGAAGGTGCCCCACTGCGTTGTCGGCGGGGCAGGGTGAAGGTGCTCCACTTCGTCATGGCGTTGGCACGGGACCGGCCACGGCAAGGCTCGCAGGTCGGTGTGAGAGGCGGGCGGGCTCGTGTTATGTTCATCGTTTGTTGTTGTTTATCGTTTGTTGTTGTTTATCGTTTGTTGTTAAATTTGGGGGGGGGGGGGGGGGTCACAGTTCCCATGGTTGCTGTTGGCGCATTGTCTTTTTTTGGTAGCTTTATTTTGGTTTCTGGTTGTGGGTGTAATCGTTTTCTTGGCCATGTAGAGTCGTATTTTGGCTTTGTCGCCGGTTGCACCCGACTTACGAGCCGCGTGGCTCACAGGGCTATGCCTAATAAATTAAACTTGAAACTAAACTTGAAACTTGGTCTAACGTGAGGTAACTGCCCCCCCCACCCCCCCACCAAGACCCCCGTGTCCCCCATGAGAGTGGAGCCACGGGACCCCCCCCCCCCCGGTTAGAAAGCAGGCCCCCCGATTGGAGCTAGCCGGGGGGGTAGCAAGGGGGTGGTCACGGGGGGTTGGGGGGGCACGTTACGGAGCAAGTTGTCTGTGCTACGGTTAGTGGCGGTGCTCACAGCGATCCGCGTTTATCTTTGCTCCTGTACATCTCCGATGCGTCTGTGATTGCCTCCCTTCCCCCCGTCACTGCCAAATCCGCCGTCAGCCGATCCGTGTGTGGTGCTGCGTGTGGACGTGGTGGAGTGGTGGGGGGGGGGGGCGCTTGGTGAAGCAAGAGACGACACTTATGCCATCCTGCGGTGGATTTTACAGCGGTGTTGAATGGGACAAGGAACTGAGACCACCTCCCCCCCCCCACCACCACCACGATAATTGTTGTGCGGTTCGATTCCTGACCACGACCCTTGACTTTGCTCGAATTGATAACCCCAAAGCTCCTCTCTTTGACCCCATTTATTTTGTTACTCCAGCGGTTCGACTAGCACAGTCCCAAAGTTGCCCGAAACTCCCGAGCGGCCAGCGATGAACACCACTGTTGATGTAATCGATAAGAATGTATCGGTTTCTCGAAATGAGCAGAGTTGTACGAACTTGGCGGAAAGGAAACGATGGGAGGTAGTTACACATTCAAGCGGTGCGAGGGAATTGGCCGAAAGAGTTGTGTGTGTGACCTGCAGCGCGGTGAGTCGATGTATGTTCAACTTCTTTCGCACCGTACGTAGCCGACCGTGTAGTATGGAGGTAGTGTATAGGTGAATGTGTACACTATACATTGGGGCTGAGGGACGGATATTCGTTATTCATTCTTTGAATGAATGAAGAATAAATCATTCGACATTATTCCATAGCTGTCAACCAATACGGTTTAGCCCGTATTCTTGTACATGGAAATTTAGTTTTTAGGTCCATACGGTGAACAGCCGTTTCAATACAGGCACAGTTTTTATTGTCTATTTTTTGTGTTTCTTCCTTGTGATGGGACTTTGTAGGATGGACGTTGAGATTTATAATGGTACGGGGTGAACCAATAAGGTCTGAATTGGTCTGTAATTAGGTAGGGCACTGATAAGGGGTTGACAGGTATGGAGAACTGAAAGCCCTCTCTTGTGGCAAGCAGACCTCAACATTGGCACTTAGCTCCTGAACACGTTGCCATCGTACACAAGAAGAGCATAGTGGATGGGTGTGTTGTTGTGACCTGCATTGTGGTGATTGAATATAGGTGTGGATGAGACGAAACGGTGGTAGACAAAGTTCCTCAGCATTGATGGAGAAATCTCTGCGGGAAAGTTCACCGGAACAGTATCCATGTTGTAGTAGTAGTTTCGATAGAAGAGGGATTAGGAGGCGACTGAACAGGATTATAAGCGTGGGAATTCCAAAGTGCAGCAGTGCGAGATAAGACACAGAGAGGGTGAAGCAACTCCTGGCCTTAGCCTTAAACTTTTTTCAAACTTGACTATTTTACCTTAATTGTGACCCCCCCCCCGCAGGGCCCGGAGCACAGCTGGACTGATGACCTCCCGGCATGCCACCTCTCTGGAGTCGGGGTCATTCCCAACCGCGTGTACGGGGCCGACGGCACTGCGAGGGAGACGCATCCTTACCAGGACTGCAACCTTCGGCTCAGGTCCGTTGTGGGGGCTGCAACAGCGATTGTGACACTCGCAGCAGAGGTTGACACCAGCGTCAGAAGCAGCAATAGTTGCACGAGCTATAGTGGCACTTGGAGCAGTAGTATTGGCTGCAGCAGTATTAGTACCAGCAGTGGCTGTCTCAAAGGTTATGGATACCAACAGAAGCGGGAGTATCAACATTGACACCAGTCGTGGCAGCAGCAGCAGTAACATCGGTATAAGAAGCGGCACATGAATGTCACGTGTGTACCATGCCTCGTGTACCATGCCGTGTGTGCCGCTGCCGTATGTGCCGTGACACGCACGATGTCACGTGCGCTGTGTGTACCAGGAGCGAGGAGTGCTGTCTGTATGGCGTGTGCCGTGGCTTTGAGGGCGCCCGCGTCTCGGCATTTGTGTCTCAGCGACTGGCGGCCGAACTGCTGCTGGGACAGCTGAGTTCCAGCGACTCCGACTCCAAGGTGAAGACGGTGCTGCTGCAGGTGAGACAGTGCCACCGGCACTACCACCGCCACCGGCCTTGCCGAACCCAACCTGTCGGTACCATCGCCGCCACCGCAACCGCTATCTAACCCATCAGTACCACTGTCACTGCCGCCAGCGACAACCACCGCCACCAGTCACGACTGGAATTTTCACAACCAGTTTAGGGTCCTCAACAGAGACAAAGCACCATTCACTGCTCGGTTGAGAAGGGAAACATGGTGACACCAACCACAGCTCTTGCCACCACAAGCAATGGCACCAACTCCACCATTAACAAGTCCACCACAGCCATCATATCCACTACCCAATCGAATCCGCCGGTGCCGTCATCAGGACCACTATCCAGCCGCACCTGCCAGCAGAACCACCACCAACTCTTAAGACAAACACCACCCCCATCAAAACCACTACTACCGTCAGGCCCATTGCCACTACATCCACTGCCACCTCCCCACCTTCTCCAGCATCACCACTTTCAAGACTACAATCAACCCCACAACTTTCATCCAAACAAAACTCAGTTGACATCTCAAAATAATAATAACAGGCCGACAATCTCACCAGGGCAGCACTTTCTGTGAAACGAACATGTGTGCCCATGCGTGCCCATGCGTGCGTGCAGGCGTTCGATGTGGTCGAGCGGAGCTACTTTGAGTCGATTGACGACAGCCTGGCAGAGAGGGCTGACCTGCAGTCACGGCTGCCTGAGGTTTGTGACCTTTGATCTGTGACCTGCTCATGGGTGTTTAGGGTAGCCATATTCTCCTGCGCATGCATACGTGTCTTCGTACGCACACGTTTTCATACACACGTGTTTGCGTGTTCAACTGTGCTGCTGTGTAAACGTGCCCACGTGCATGTCTGTGAACACGTGTGTACATGTGCTTGTGTGTAAATATGCGTGTGCGTATATTTCTTTGCGCAAGTGCGTATATGTGTAAAATAAGCGGTTCAGTAGTTCCCGCACTACACTACAATCGCAGTGACCTGGATTTAAATCCCAGCCATGGCCAACATCAGTGGAAAATATCTAAACCGGTCCTGGACCTCCCCTAGGTCAAATAAAGCTTAAACGCATACATGATGCAGTATGTAACCATCACCACTGTGTTAACAAATTCGACCTGGCGTGATAATACCCACATGATCCCCCCTTTGTGTGTCGTGTCGGCTTTCATAGGTGCTCGCTAACTGCACTTGCCCCAACAGTCTTTGCTTTGTTTTTGCTTGCAGGGTCTCAGCTCTTTCCAGGTAGCGCAGCAGTACCCGCAGCTGGTGGAGCGGCTGGCGGCTGTGGAGCGCGAGGTGGCAGGGGGCGCCACGGCCGTGGTGGCGTTAATCCTCAACGGCAAGCTGTACATCGCCAACGTTGGTGCGTGCGCTGTGGTGGAAAAATAACTGGATCTTATAAAGCGGCCACAAAATAAGCTTCCGGGCCCTTACTAAATACAGCTGCACGTAGATGGACACTGGGAATTTCACATCACGGCAGGACGGTTGTGAGGAAATTTGTAACTTTGAAAGAGAGCAGAGCAGGAAAGTTCTTGAGGCGTTTTCAGGGAGAGAAAGTCACGGTGGGTGGGACACGCGTGCGAGATGGAAGAGGGCAGGTTATTGAGACGGGCACTGGAGTGGCCCCCTGAGCTTGGTGACCAAGGGGAACGTACTTACGTTAAAATTCTTTCGCACCGTACGTAGCCAACCGTGCTTATCGGAGGTGCGGGGGAAGACCTAAGGACGGCCCTTGGAGGGTGAGTCAATCGTATCACCAAAGGAAGACCTAAAGCCCGATGTTACTGATGATAAGCATATAAGCGCAGACCTCGAAGATCAGGGGCCCACCGTCTAAAAGATGCAAGATCTGGCATAAGCGAGGAAGTGATGGCGCTGTGACTTGTTTCTTGTTATTCTTAGTTCTTTCGGTAAAGTCACGTTGAAGGGAAACAACAAAATAATAAAATATATATATAAAACAATAAAAATTCTCACGACGTTTCGACCATAACACAAACGGTCGTCTTCAGGTGTGTGTGAAGACGACCGTTTGTGTTATGGTCGAAACGTCGTGAGAATTTTTATTGTTTTATATATATTTTATTATTTTGTTGTTTCCGTTCAACGTGACTTTACCGAAAGAACTAAGAATATGAATTACTGCAGTCACGAAAGCTTTAAATCAAAATTGTTTCTTGTTGTTTCAGGTACCAACCGGGCCCTGCTGTGCCGCTTGGCAGGAGATTCCACACTGCAAGTGACACAGCTGAGCATGGACCACCACGCGCAGAATGAGGCGGAGCTGCAACGGCTCGCCCAGCTCGGTGAAAACACAAACATTTTTCTCACGCGGTGGGCAGTGGTTGGGCAGTTGAAGTCTCGCTGATGCATCAGCGAGACTTCAACTGTCCAACCACTGCGCCTGGGTTTATGCTCCCCATGACCCCTCTTCCTGTCAGTGCGCCGTAACCTGTCCACATGGTCTCATCAAAGTGCACCATTACAATGTGATTATTACACTTGTTTACCCAGGAACGCCTAGGTCCCCCATTTTAACGGCAAAGGGGCGACCTTTCCTTTGTGTTTCCACAATCAAGTCATTTGTGGTGTAAGTTTTCAAACTTGGAATATTTGGACCATGGCGCCAGCACGCAATGGCCTCCTCTTTCTATTGATGTCAGGTGATCTTTAACGCTTGCACAGTGAAGCAGACGGCACGGTTATTACACCTGCTGTGTTTATTAGGGTGACCTCTATGGATATCAGAACTGTGAACCTGAACTATGAACCTCTGCAACAAGCGGTGAACACACTTCCCTTGGGGCCATGTCACCGTGCCTTGCTTGGCACAAGTACGAGTGGCATTATGTTACTTAGTCGTCAGTTGTGGCTGTTGTGTGTTTGGCCGTGTGCAGGCGTATGCGTCAAAGTTAGTACATGTGTGTACGACCCCATGCACACTCAGCTGTGCACGTGCATGTTAAGTGTATGTAGTATGTACATGTGTGTAAACATCAGTGCTTCGGAAGACAAAGGCTAACGGCACTGGCCATAATGGTGTATAAGGCTGAACGAGATGGGGGCGGGGGGTGTTTGCGTGCGTGTGGATGTGCGTTAGGCCTGGATGTCGATCGTATCCGTCGCGAGGGGCGACTGGGACACCTAGACAGCGCGCGGTGCATCGGAGACTACAGGATCAAGCTCGGTTATAAGGACATCGAGGTGCTCAGGTGAGACGGCGACATCGACACCCCCGCAGACATCAACGGCATCCGTCCTCGGCGCACCGACGTCATTGCCAGTCAACTCGACACTGCCAACAGGGGCCATCGGCAATGAACGCCGATGAACAGACATCATCGACGTCAATACTAACATCAAAACCGAAACCATCAATAACATCAACACCAAGGTCAATGTTTACATGCCCTCGCAATCGACACTGATATTGAAAGCCATCAATTATCGACACATCGGCAATACCAAAAGAAAAATAAACCTCTTGTATGGCCTTTTCAGATTTTTTTGGAAAATGTTGTTAGCAAGCAGCAATGAAGCCAGGAATGAAACACAAGGGAGTGGGTGGCCAGCACTGTCGCCTTTGTCTCCCGAGTGGCGATGTTTACACACTGTACTTGGTACTCATTTGAGGCTGAGTCGACCTCGGGGAGGCCTGAGACCAGTTCAAAAAATTGTTGCTGGTGTTGGCCGTGAGCGGGAATCGAACTCGGGTAGCCGGGTTCACAGCGCAGCACGCTAACCGCTACACTACCACTCCCACATCGTCAACACCACCAACGGTGACACCAGTGGCAACAACATTGACATCAACATCGGCAATACCACCGTCAACAACACACATATCAACATCAACGCTGACAGTATCACTAAAATCTTTAACACTTAGATCAATGCCACCGATATCACACAACGAACATCCTCGTCAACAAACGCTGACAGTGGCAGACACTGACACGCCACCATTTACCACAAACAACTACCACAATGTCCTCTGCCACCACCGACGTCACTCCCCACGCTCGCGGTTTTGTGCCTCAGCGCGGCAACATCGGAGCCGGTGACGGCAGAGCCCGAGATTCACGGCGGCACGTCGCTCGACGCCACCGTGGGCTTCCTGTTGCTCGTGTCGGATGGGCTGTATCGCGCGCTTGACGCCACGCTCGGCCCGGGCCACGCCAACCAGGTGCCTGGTCACTCAACTGCTCGCCCGCTTGCCCGCTCACCCACTCGCGGAACGTGTAAACGCACGTTCACTTGTGTACACGCTGGCATGCGCACTTGCTCGTACGTTTGTGCGTACGTGCTTGCTCTGGCACTCGTGTACGCACGGACAAACACGTGTGCTTGCTCGTACACTCGTGCACACACCAGCGATGAGCCACTGCCTCAATGCTCATTTGAGTAGGAAATCAATGACTTTGAACAAAAAAAAATGACACGCAGAAGCGAAATCCTTAATTGTCTCCGCTGTCGTGTTTATGCATCTCCCGCCCTTGCGTGCGTGTGCAGGAGCTGGCACTGATGGTGGCGCGTGAGCTGGGCGCGCGCAGCTCGGTGGATGCGGCGGCTCAGGCTGTGGTGAAGCGCGTGGCCCGGCTTCACCAGGAGGCGTGGGCGAGCCACGGGGAGCGAGCGCACGCTTGCGAGCATCACGACGACATGACTTTGCTCGTGCGCAACCTCGGCTTCCCGCTCGGCGGCGCTGGTGGGGCCAGCGCTGTCACCGGCGCTGCCGCGGCCACGGCACTGGGCACGGGGAGCCCTGGTGCTGGTGCTATGGTGAACCCACTGTCGCCAGGTACACAGTGCGGGCACATATATACGCACAGCGGAGCGGGAGCGTGTGTCTGTGCGTGAGGGCTAATGTTATGGAAAACGGTAGTGTATAGGTTAGTGCGCTATGAACCTGGCGACCTCAGTTTGATTCCCACTCATGACCAACACCAGTGACGATTATCTGAACCGGTCCTGGACCTCCGCTAGGTGAACTCGGCTTCAAATGACTACCTGGTGCTATGCGTAAACTTTGCCACTTGGGAGACAAAGGCGGCCGGGCATGGTGTTGGCCACCCACCCCCTCATGAGCCGTGTTGGCCATTCATAGGTGCTATTCGCGAATGGCACTTGCCCCTAAAAACGGGGGACCTTTGTCTTTTGTCTTTATGTGTGCAGGTACCCGCGTGTACCCGGTCTCCGTGCCGTACAGCAGCACCGCCCACGACGCCGCAGCCGCCACCGCCGCAGCCGCCGCTGCCGCCGCCGCTGCCGCGGCCACGGGCAAGACGAGCGTGACGCTGTCGCTCGTCATGCCATCGCAGGGGCAGCTCGTTAACGGGAGCGCTGGGGGCGCGGGGGGTCTGGCCGGCGGCGTTGTCGCAGGCGGAGCCTTGGCGGCAACCGATGGCAGCACCGAGGGCTCCGGCAGTGACGACCACACGCACGGCACGCTCACCAACAGGTTGCTGCTCGTGCGGAATGCCCGGCCGACGACTCTTGCCAGAGCGGTTTTAACGCTCGCCGCACTTGTTCTACTTTCACCGCACCTTGTCTTGGAGGACACCTGCTCAACAAAACACTTGCTTGACACTGTTACTGTGAAAAAAGATATTGCTGTATTGAAATTGTTGGTTACGTTCTTATTGTGTCAGTTTTGTGCTGTTCGTGTGCTTTTGTCTTTTTGTTTTCAGTTCTGTTTTCAATGTTGTGTTATTCTATTACTGTTATGCGTTTTTGCTGTGTTTGTGTTCTTGGTTGTGTTATCGTGTCGGTTTTGTGTTAGTATGTTATCTCTGTATTGTTATTCTCAGCTGTGTTATTGTGGGTTGTGTTTTTACTGTGTGTGTTTTGTGTTATTTGTTGGCTACGCCACACCTCCGAATAACATGATGGCTACGTACGATGCGAAAGAAGTTCAACATACGTACGTTTGCCAACACCTGTCAGTCGTGTACACTTACAAATACAGCTCACGTAATACCAACACCTTTCATGCCCAACACCTGTGAAACTAGTATTCGACGCACACCAACGTCCGTTCTACGCTCGGGTAATTTCGTCTGCTCTCGTACTTGAGCAATTTCGCATGGTGGTGATATGTTAACTACTTCACCTGGTATACAGGAGGTCGTGGGTTCGATCCTGACCCTGAAGCCTGTAAATTTGGAGTTTGCATGTTCTCTCCGGTGTCCCATGTATTTTTATCCCGAGTCCCCCAGTTTTTCACTCTACATTTAGAAACACGTGTTGAGAGTATTTGACTGATATAAATTTCCACGTAATACGTCACTTAGTTGAGCAATCAATTGCAGCCAGGCCACTTCTGAAAATGAGCTATATAGCTCAGTGGGCCTTACCTGGTAAAACAAAAATGATTTAGTGTTATAGTTTAGCTTATACGCTCAACACACCAATATCCATGGAACCTGTGAGTCGGAATCAAACTCGGATCACCAGGCTCGTAGCACGGTGCAGACGTCTACCACTATACCACTGCTCACCACGTACACACCTGAGCTCCCAGACTTGCTGCGAGCGTGAAAAATTCCACATTTCATTCCCCGGTAGCAGCGCAGATTAGCGATCGCGGCCGCAACGAACGTGGTAACGCGGGGCTGGGGGGGTGGGGGGAAATTGGGGAAGCGCCGCCTCTGTAAATGACTCGCGCTCTCGCCGCGCTGGAAGCACTGTTCACGGTTGTTTGCGTTAACACAACCGCGACGCTCACGCGCGGCGACTAGGCGTATGGGTTTAAAAACAATCACACGGATCTTTTCAGGTGTAGAGTAACAGCTCTGGAAGCAGGACCTATTGTGGCCTGAGCCTCTCGAGTTTAAAGCGGATGTCTGGCATGAAGCAAATGATTAAATAATGCGAATTTCAAGCTAATATTCACTTAGAAGACGTAATTAACACCGAATGCATGTCCGTGCCCTCCTGCGTGCATGGCCGTGCATCCTCGAGACCAGTCCTCTTTAAGGCGAGCTCTCCACCTTTGACCCTAAGGATGTGGCCTCAGGGGTGTGGCTTCAGCCTGAGGACCTCGAGGACTTGTTTCAAACCAGTCACCTACTTGTTCTTTCTCACAGAGACAACTTTCGTAACATGTCCAAACTGCGACTGATTGCTAAATTTAATTAATAAAAGTTAATTGTTTCCCACAACTAGATTCTGAGGTTCTCCGGCCCTTGACTGGCCTTTCCACTGGCCTCAGCCTCGTGGCGCCCGGCCTCGACCTCAACCCCGTGGGTCGAGGCCTTGAACCCACGACTGTTTCCCGTTCCCTCCCGTGCGTCTCACCGTTCACGACATCACCCTCCTCCGCCGCCGCCCTGCCTTCCCGTCCCCTCCCCCTTCTCCCCTGTGGCCTTCCCCAGCCCCCACACGACTCTGCGCTCGGGAGGCAGCACCACCCGCACGCGCAGCTCCAGCTCCAGCTCCGGGGGCGAGGGGACGCTCTTCCAGCGGCCGCGCGCCTCCCTCGCGGCGCCCCCGGACCTGGACGGCCGCGTGGAGCCCTACGTGGACTTCTCGAGCTTCTACCGTCTGTGGGGCGCTGAGCACGCGGACAGCGCCACCCCGCTCGCCACTCCCACCCCCTGAGAAACCTTTTCCCCACCACCCCCGCCATCCCCCCCCCTCACCCCACCCACCCTCGGCGGCGGGGTTAGGGCAGTTCAGAATCAGAATATTTATTTATATGGAGATGAATATCAGATGAGCCGTGAAGCTGTTTTCTCACAGTTGTCCAGTAGGTGGCAGGTGAGAACGTTACGGTAACAATACAAAAACACGACAGACGTGCAAAAGAATAGGAAAGGTAAACAAATCACTGAACAAAAATATACAAATATAACAAATTTGTATTTTACCATGTAAAGCCCACTGAGGTATTAGTTTTTTTTTTTCCCGAAGCGACCTGGTTATCACAAATTATAGTTGTTGGGGGGGGGGGGGGGGCGGGGGGGGTGGTGGAACACCCAGAGTATCACGGGTGAGCCCTAAAACCTTGGCGAGGTCCCCGGGGAAAGCTTAAGCCTGGCCTAGCAAGTCTGCCCCACATAGACCCCGACAGCGGTGACTTAAAGCTCCCGAGGGTTCCCTCTTTTGGTTTAGCACTTGCTTCATCGGCCTCAAAGGGATGGATGATAGGACTGATGTAAAAACTCAGCCGCGATTTAGACTCCCACTCTTCTGATGACAAGGTCAAAACACTGCTACGGACACGAGCAGTGCCAAGCAGGGCTGTCGGTGCCGCCAAAGTGAGTGGTAGTGGGGGTGGGGGGGGGCAAATCACCCGATTTCACCCCTCCCCCCGCCTGCCCCCGCAAAAAAAAAACCGCATGGATACGAGGTCAGAAACCAATTGAGTTCGATTCTACAGTAAAACAGCTACAGGCACTCGTGAAGTTTAACCGCTCGAATGGTCTCGTGTGGTGGAGTCTGGTGTCGGCGCGCCCACCTCTTAAAAAAATGCCTGGCCATCATGGAAGAGTAGGCCATGTACACTCGAGAGGGACACTTTTTAGCTCATAAAGGTCCTTCTTGCTAGCAGTAGTGTGAGCAAGCAATTGCAGGTCTGCGCCCTTTAGTAGTAAAGTAGTATGTCACAAACGTGAACATACTGTCGATACCTCTGTTTAAAAATTGGCATCTGGACGCTGCAGCCTAAGGGATGGGTAAAAATACAATCGCTTGTAACCTGGTAAAACTTAAGCCGTCGCGTGCTCTATTGCCTCGACTGTCGCTCCTCCATGCAGCAGAAGCTGATCCTCTTAAGTTAGAGCAGCGATGGTCAATACACCAAGCACTGTCTTCCTTTTCGGTGGATCTCAACGGGCTCTGCGATCCACCAGAAATCTATGACCTTCATTTACCACTCTATTGATGTAAGTACCAGCGCTATCTGTTGGTGTGAACTCTTTTTTTAACGTATGTTTTAGTTGTGGATTTTTATTTGCAATCAGCTGTCTGCTTGTGAGAGTGTTTTAATTTTGTCTTGAGATCCACAAAAAATATTTTTCGATCCACGTATTGGGACACTGCTGAGTTGGAGAATCATTTTTTTTACTATTAACACTTTCCCATTCTGATGACGTATGTGTAAGTCATCGGTTTTTCTTCCGATTCCATTCCGATTATGTATGTTTACCTCATCGGAACGAAATCCATGCCAATTGGAATCGAAAATATTTCGAACCGAATTGGAACTGATTTTGATTGGATCCGAATTGATTTCGAATGGAATCGGAAGTCAAAGTACTGCGGGAGGGCATGTGGCACAGTTTACCGCCAGCTATCATAGAGAGTGCGGTGGTGTCACTACAGTTCTCTGTGGCGAGCAGAGTACATTGTCTTTAAAAACAGCAGTGCGATGCCTCTAAATAAAATGTACCTCTTGCGCGTTTCGAGATTCAGCAGTGAACAGGACCCACCCTGCAACTTGCAGGCATCTTGGAACGGGAAAGGGTTGAGAAAAGTGGGCTGGGGCAGGACACGTCGCGAGATGCAAATATGGCAGATGGTAGAAAACTACGGACAAAGTGGCAGCCAAAGGGGAGAAACGTTCCTGAGAGGTCGACCACGTGCACTTGACACTTGAGAAGATGGAGCAATGAAATCGGCTCTTGTACAAATACTGGATGAATTGTTACAATTGTAGGCGATCATTAATGGTAGTGGCCTTTAACCAGCAGCCGATAGCTGATGCCTGATAAAGCTTTACAGCGTCCTCTCAACCCCCAACCACACCCCAACCCATTCTGCCCACCCCCCCCCCCCCCCCCCTCTCAGCACTGAAATCCTTGCAAATGGTTTCATTTGCACCCCTGCTCCCCCAATTGTAACATCATAGCACCGCTTATGAACGGGCAATGTCTCAATAAACTGCCCAGTGTCTTTTACTGAACCTTATCGGAGTCCTTTATGATTTTTGTTTTGTCTCACAATGGAGATATGGAAAACCTTGTGAGATGTAATTTTTTTTAATACAGCTCGGCTTTGCAACTCCAGTTTTTCCAGCCACGTAATATTTGGCCGAAGCCGGAATGCGCCCGATCTAGTCAGATCTCCGAAGTTTATCAGGCTTCAGCCTGCGTAGTGCTTGCAACGGGCGCATCGCTGTTGCGTAAGCAGGCATTATCGGCTGCTGCGTGGCAACTTGGTAGGCAGTGCAGAAAAACCCATTTATGTGCAGCAAAATCCTTGCCCATCGCGATGGAGGTGACGTTCTTGAAAATAGCCACAATCGGCAAATCCGTGATCCTCAAAAAGGCAAATGGAAAAACGAGGGGTTTGGTTCACGGTCAACCACGAATAATGAACTATACCTCAATAATACATCATGGGTCCTCCTTTGCCAGTACCAAAATATGAGAATAGGTGTTCCCCTTTTTTGTGGCAACAAAACAGGTGTTAAGATGTTAAAACACCAAACTGAAACCTTTTTGGCGTCCTCTGGTCTAACACCATTTGAGACTCTGCTCTAAAGAAAGCTGTCTCTGGTGTGGACCAATCAGTTTCAAAGACAACGCATATATTATCAGAGTATCAATCTTGATTTGAAGCTTTCGTGACTGCAGGAATCCGTACTCTTTGGTTCTTTCGGTAAAGTCACGTAGGTATAAAAATTAAATAAATCACGACGTTTCGGGCGCAACAAGCGTCCGTCATCAGGTGGGGAAAGCGATGGTCTGCTGCTGAAGCAGACTGTTTTATAAAGGTTTGAAATGGGTGTAGCTCAAGGGTCATAAAGAAGTGGCCGGGGCTAGTGATGTTAATGTGAGAAATTAACGTGATGTTAATGTGAGAAATTAGCATGTAACTGTAAGATAGAAGGAGAGCGGCCTCCTAAACGAGGGCACGGAAGTGGCTATGTTAATATGAGAGATTAGCATGTTGATGTGAAATCCAAGAGTGGTGCAATCCAAAGGGTACATATATATAAAAAACTACCACTATGCATCGGAATCATATTTCTTTCGCAGTGTACATAGCCAACCGTGCTAAACGAAAGGTGGGATATAAACAATCAATTGCCTTAAAGCATCAATATAGGGCACTGCAAAGCTTGACCAATTGTTGGACTGTATGGCGCTTGACAAGTTTAAATGATTACCAGAACGGCCACCGTCACTCGTGGTCTGTGCAGAATAGCTATCCGTAAAGTTTCAAGCTTGTATTTGTTATTTACGGTCACAGAACTCAAACTTCCCTTCTCACACTTCAGCTTTTAACATCTATGGGAAACGTGCATATGTCAGGGTCGTGATGACTCATGCGAGCCTCCCTTACACATTTACAACTGTCTCCCATGGCCATTTATATGTAGGTTTATACAGCGTCTTAATGCGTGGCGCTTTACAGTAATTCGTATTTATGCGCGATGATTCGACGTTGATGCGCAGTGTGGCGGCAGTTGCGTGGAGTTTGCCGAGTAGAGCTACGGTGCCGATGTGAAGATGTGACGAGACCGTTCCACGATTTACCCAGTTCCCTAGGCGACGGCTGTTCACGTTTTACTGCTAACAGGCGCAACAAGCTCGATCTCGGGGCTAATGTGGGGGAACCGTGGAGCCATTCACGCGGTGAAGCGCGGCGCGCTGCGCTTCACATTTAAGCGAGGTAGCAGCACTCGCTCCACGGGCGCTGCAAACGGCAGCAGAGAGAAGTGGGCAGAAACATTTTATTTTACCTGGTAAGGCCCCCGCCGAGCCATATTGCTCTTATTCGGAAGCGACACTGGCCATCACAAAGGGTAGCTCAGCGAAAGTGGCTTATCGTGTGGAAATGTATAGCAGCCAAATACTCTAAACGCACGTTGCTTCTGAACGTGGAGGGAAAAACTGAAGGACCTGGAGAAAATTTCCATGCGACCACGGGAAGAGAGACACGCAAACATCCAAATAGAAAGAAATGCGTCAGGGTCGGGATCGAACCCACGACTTCCTCTATACCCGGCGAGGCAGTTAACATCACCACCGCGGCACCGATCACCAGCATATTCACCAAACCAAGTGATCCATTTAAAGTTTGGTCCAACATGACTTGGGTAGATAGAAAAAGCATAATGCGCGTGGTAATGAACACGAGTTCCGTAACTGTTATCCACCAAACACCAAAGCGTGGCTCAAGAGATGTAACTCTTGAATTAAGGCGGGTACTTCAAGGTTGAATTTTGATTAAGCAGGTTGAGAGATATCAAAAGAGACCCAGGTACAGAGTGTCAATTTGCAAGACCGACCCGCCATAGGGCATCACTCCGCCTGGCCAACAGGGCGTGACAATTGCTGCCACGCTGTGCGTAGCGTGATCGCAATCGAGTCACCCTCGGTGGGTAATCGTCAAATTGTGAATTTTGCGACGCGGAGAACACAATGAATATAATGGCCTGAACTCTTGCGAATTTCGTCCCGAAGATCTTGAACACCCGGTGTTGTGCACTCTCCTCCAAATCCACGCTGCTTTGAGCCTCTTCATTGTCATGTACACAGTAATGAACTTCTGTGTACATTTCTTCAATGCGCCTTTAAAACTTATACACTTCCGCTTATTAAACTTTGAGTTGATTTAGTAAATTATTAATAAAATGTATCGATAATTTTATTTTTATGCCGAGTGTCTGCTGCTGCTGCTGTGTCCTGTACAGCGCTTTGAGATCCCTGATGAAAAGCACAATATTAATGTACGGTAATTATTATTATTACAGCGAGTCCTCGATTAACGCGGTAGACGCGTTCCTGAAAAGTTCCGCGTAAATCGTAAAACAAATCCCCCCC